AGAATCGAGTTTTTAAGAGAGAAACCGAGCAATTTCAAGAAATACTTGGAGCAAGTTTCTTTTCTTATAAATAGAAGAGGTATGTATTCAAACTTTGATATCATCAATTATAGCTAAGAGTTATAAGTGTTTATATGTGATTTTGATATGTTATCATGTTTAGAAATTATAAATTTTATATATATAAGTATATAAAATAAGATTATAAAGTAAGATTATTTAAAGTTCATGTTGCAGCTGCTTATGTTTGTTGTTTTGATCAAGCTATTAAATTCCAAAAATTATGAAAATTTTTATATGAGATCATCATTATGCTGAGAATAATACTAAAAATGTTTAGATTATTTTAAGTTAAAATGAATTTTATAAAAATCATTGATTAAGGTGCTGTCCAGTGAAAAATCTGTGTAGTAATGATGACTTGTAGTATTTAATTACCCTATTTATTGATATTATTTTGAGTTGGAAATTTTATGGTCAATTCATATATTAGTTAAGAACTTCCAGTTAAATTTTATCTTTATTGGACTTGTTTAGCATGAGATATAGATTTTTAAAAACAAGCATACAAGTTAGTTGAATATTTTGTTATATTTTCAACTTTGAAATAATATATCTTAATATATGAGTAATATTTTAAAGTGAAATTTTTATGGTAACTTTATATATATGTGGAAAGTACATATGTTAAAGTTAAGCTTAAAATGAGTTGAATTGAGTAATTACTAAAATTATAAATAAAGCATGTTAAAATGATTTTAGTATGAAATTTCTCATTATAATAATTAATGTGAATTTTGAAGAGCATGTGTTAGATATTTTCACTTGCAAGTTTATAAGCTATTATTTAGAAAGCATGATCTATATAAAGTTTTGGCATCAAATGATGATTCATCAAGAGTTTGAGTTACTAGAAGTATTATGATTATTTGAGCTATAGCATATTTGCTAGATTCGGATAAGTTAAAAGTAATTAGTTAAAGTTATGAATCTCAATATCTTATTGAGTATTCGAGCATAGTACTTAGTATATTTGTTTATATTTTTATGTAGCGTGAGAAGTTCGGCTAACAAGAACAACACTTTCATTTTTCAATACTTTTCGAGAAGAAAGGTGGGGACCCAGACTGGGTATTACATTGAGTATAATATTGATATCATGTTCGAGGTATGTATACAGTTTAAGTTACTGGAACAGATTTCCAGTCAAGATATATACCAAAGATCATGATATTGTATTATTATTGCTGTTCACTTTAGTATGGGTGATTTCGGGGTACAAGAGGATCACTACTCACCACCATTGTGTTTTTCAGGTAACAGGGTCGGGCTGGAGGTGTGAGCTCAAAAAGTGGTGGTGGTGGTCGTGCACTTCTTTAAGTGGACATTTATTATGAACTTGATATGTCTGTATAATTATTCACGTTTTTAAGTATTGCCGCTACGCATATTGAGACTTGAACTTGCATTCTAATAAATTTCAGATTTTTTCAAGTTTTTATCATTTCAGAAGTATGAATATGATATAGTTAAATGCCAGTTTAATTAAATCTGTTTTCTTTATGTATAAAGAAGTATTAGACAAAGTTTAAAGATAAACGGATTTCCAGAAAAGATGAGTTTGAGTAGCATCCTGAGTTAGTCGCAAAAGATTTCGAAAGAGTTCTAAGTATTTTCGAAGTAAAAGTTGCGAAAAATTTACTCTGATGAGCGGGGTGTTACAGAAAGCTTATGACCGGACTAGTGGGAAAGTATTAGGAGGACAATGTTTGGAATGGGGTTTCACCCTACCTTCATGTTGATGCTAAAAAATGTCAGCAACATGGGGTGAACTGTACACTAAATTGTGTACTTTGCTCAATCTGCACGAATAGATTTGTTCTTGAAATATGGGTTGAATCCCTCTTCTATTCATGACTTTTGGATATATATCTTTTATGAGAAGAAAACATGAATTAAAGTATACAAAAAATAAGAAAATATTATTTAGTAGTGCCTCTCAGAGTTTTTTGTGCTGATGTTTTTTCTCCCACTTTCTTTTGAACGAATGTCCTCCTCTTTTTTTTCTCTATCATTGAGGCTTAGTGTATAGTTAGTTTATAGTGTAGTACACTTGTACTACATGTACTATTCACTATGTAGTACAAGTCTACTATTCACTATATGTAGTACAAATGATATTTTATTTGTTGTGTTTTTATTAATCGTAGTCAAATTGAGTACCAACAAGAGGCCCCCGAGTTTAGAACTGTTCTGAAGTCGAGTTTATTTATAATTTGGCAGTGCTTATGCTTGTAGCCTTTTGAGCTTGGGGCTCTTGTACGCTTTGTCGATTGTTTTTAGGCTTTGACCTGACGAATTTGTGTTGGTTTTGTTCTCCTGCACTTTGACGAGTGCGAATCACTGGAATGGATGGACAATTCTTTGGAATTGCAATTGAATGGGGCCTAAATGGCATGGTCGGGTAATTTGGTACCCGATTTTGCGTTTTGTGCAATGCAAATAGTTCGTTTATTTTTTGTAAAGATGGTAATGGTATGGATTTGTACGGACACTCGGGCCCCTTGGATTTTTAGCGATTGATATAAAGACGCTCGCTGATATGATTTGCTTGGCGGTTCTGAGTTGACCGTGTTTCTTGTAGGAATACTTTTTTGGATACTAGACATGAATGAGCTTCGAGCTCTTTGTCTAAGTGAGATTTTAGCTCTTTGTTCGATTAAGCCTTGGGCTCTTTATTCTATTGAGCTTTGAGCTCTTTATGCCATGCAAGAGTGTATGCGTAATGTGAGCATGAGATGAATGCGTGAGTTTATGATAAATGTATATGATGGATGTTCGATGCTCTTAGCGCCTTGAATCTTCCTTGTTATGCGAATGAATGTCTTTCCCGGACTAGTTAGCGTTGTCCAGTTGTGGGGTCGATTATCCCCGTATGATTTCGTTCATTTTGCGACGGATAAATTTACGTTATCCGGTCGTTTACCCTTATTGGGTTTTATTCGTTTTGCGCCGGACAGATTTATATTGTCCGGACTTATTACCTTAACAAGGTCATATTTACGTCGAACAAATTTACGTTGTCCGGTCATTTTCATTTTTAAGCCGGCCCGGACTTATTACCTTAATGAGGTCGTATTTTACGCCGAACAAATTTCCGTTGCTCGGATGTTTACCCTTAGAGAGTTTCATTCGTTTTTCACGGCTCGTAGTTTTATGACATTGCGGCCTCGTGGCTCATAGGTTCAGTCGGTATCGAGGCTCTGTGGCGAGTAAAATATGGATATCGATTCAACTGGAGTCGAGGCTCTGGGGCGATGAAATTTGGATGTCGACTCAGCTGGAGTTGAGACTCTGCGGCGAGGTAATTTGGATGTCGACTCAGCCGGAGTCGAGATTCTATGGCGAGGTAATTTGGATGTCGACTCAGCCAGAGTCGGGACTCTACGGCGAGGAAATATAAATATCGACTCAGCCGGAGTCGGGATTCTACGGCGAGAAAATATAAGTGTCGACTCAGCCGAAGTCGGGACTCTACGGCGAGGAAATATAAATGTCGACTCAGTCGGAGTCGAGACTCTACGGCGAGGAAATATAGATGTCGACTCAGTCGGAGTCGAGACTCTACAACGAGGAAATATAAATGTCGACTCAGCCGGAGTCTAGACTCTACGGCGAGGAAATATAGATGTCGACACAGCCGGAGTGGGAACTCTACGACGAGGAAATATAAGTATCGACTCAGCCGGAGTCGGGACTCTACGGCGAGGAAATATAAGTGTCGACTCAGCCGGAGTCGAGACTCTACGGCGAGAAAATATAAGTGTCGACTCAGCCGAAGTCGAGACTCTACGGCGAGAAACTATAAGTGTCGACTCAGCCGGAGTCGGGACTCTACAGCGAGGAAATATAAGTGTCGACTCAGCCAGAGTTGGGACTCTACAGCGAGAAAATATAAGTTTCGACTCAGCCGAAGTCGAGACTCTACGGCGAGGAAATATAAGTGTCGACTCAGCCGGAGTCGGGACTCTACGACGAGGAAATATAAATATCGACTCAGTTGGAGTTGAGACTCTACGGCGAGGTAATATAAATGTCGACTCAGCCGGAGTCGAGACTCTACGGCGAGGACAAATTCGGCCCCGGAATTGATAAGTGAACTCGGCCTCGTCGCAGGTAAGTGAATTCAGCCCCGACATTGACAAATGAGGTTGAAAACAATCAAATAACGAATCGGTCCGGTGGGACTGGGCGTGTCTACGAAAGAATAATAAATAAGCCCGGTAGAGCTGGGGCTCGTCGGCGGGCTGGGTGGAAATGTTGGCCTGGCCGGAGCGAAGGCTCAATGGCAGATGAAATAATAAGGTTGGCCCGGCAGAGCAGGGGCGTCGGCGGGCTAGGTGAAGATGTCGGGCCTGGCCGGAGCGATGGCTCAATGGCGGGCGAAATAATGAGATCGGCCCGGCAGAGCAGGGGATCGTCGGCGGGCTAGGAGGAGATGTCGGCCTGGCCAGAGCGAAATAATGAGATCGGCCCGGCAGAGCAGGGGCTCGTCGGCGGGCTAGGTGGAGATGTCGGCCTGGCCGGAGCGATGGCTCAACGGCGGGTGGAATAATGACGTCGGTCTGTTAATGAAGGTCGGATGATTGTTTCGGCGACAATCAGCTTGGTGGTCCATGATTTGATCGTGATTTCGAGCTTGGTCGTGATCACGTGGCTCGGCATTTTTCAGATCAGGTGATATGCTTGTCGCTTTTGTACCGCTCGCAGGTTCCGGCACACCGAGTAGAGACATGTTCGTCTCAATTGTGGGCTGTTACCTTTAGTTCGGCCCGCGGATTGATTCTGACGCTAGAGTGGTTGGTGTCCATTACGATGTGGGGATCCGTCGCCAAATAGTTGTTGCGAGTTTGGCCTTTTCGTTCTTTCTTTCTCTTTTTTACCTTTTCTTTTCTTTTTTTTTTTGTTTGTATATGCATACGTGTGCATATTTATTTTTTATGTATGTATATATATGTTTGTTTGGCCTGAAATCCGAATTCGGCCCGAGTGAGTCCGGCACAGGCTATGCAAATTTCGTTCTGAAGTGCCGGCAGCTAATGCGAGTCCGGCGACAGATCGACGGCGTCGGCCGGATGATGCTTCTGCCGGTCCGGGAATTTTATCTCTTCTTTTCACATCAATTCTCTTTTTAATTGAAATATTGTCATAGCTTTTTCACTTCCCCGTTTCGCAATACTTGAAATATCACCACTTTTCGAAATAGATTGCACTTCTCCACAAGATTGGATTTTTATCTATATTCTGTGAAGGATTGCATTTTTTTTTTAAGTGTTGGGGGCGACGTGGCTAATTCTTGTCCAAGGGAGAGTAATATTATCTATTTGTTTACTTCTGTTCGGCCAACATCTTAAGGTGCTGAACATCCTTTTTTTTTCTGCGATGAAATCTAAGAAATTTCTGGTGTTCTTCCACAAGTTAGAAAATTTACCTCAAACAAATTATGAGGCCCTTCGTCTAGCGCCATTTGTTGATGCTAAAAAATGTCAGCAACATGGGGTGAACAGTACACTAAATTGTGTACTTTGCTCAATCTGCACGAATAGATTTGTTCTTGAAATATGGGTTGAATCCCTCTTCTATTCATGACTTTTGGATATATATCTTTTATGAGAAGAAAACATGAATTAAAGTATACAAAAAATAAGAAAATATTATTTAATAGTGCCTCTCAGAGAATTTTTTGTGTTGATGTTTTTTCTCCCTCTTTCTTTTGAACAAATGTCCTCCTGTTTTTTTTCTCTATCATTGAGGCTTAGTGTATAGTTAGTTTATTGTGTAGTACACTTGTACTACATGTACTATTCACTATGTAGTACAAGTCTACTATTCACTATATGTAGTACATATGATATTTTATTTGTTGTGTTTTTATTAATCGTAGCCAAATTGAGTACCAACCCTTCATAAAGTGGATCATGGCATGCACTTCATCTAGCTTCTTTCTCATTCAATGTAAATGGCAAGGTCTTTGGGTTTCTGACTCCTTCTAGGGGGATAAGGCAAGGTGACCCTTTGTCACCTTACATGTTCATCTTGGTTTCAGAGATTTTTTCTTCTTTTCTAGTTAATACAACCAGCTTGGGGCAATTCAGTGGCATCAGGTTGTCTCAGAATGGTCCTACTATTTCTCATCTGTTATTTGCCGATGATTCTCTTATGTTCTGTAAGGCTGATGTGGAGCATGCTTACATTATTCTTGATATCTTAAGATAATACCAGTCATTTGCAGGGCAGAAGGTTAATCTGGGTAAATCATCTTTGTTTCTCAGTAAAAATTGTACAGATGTTGAGAAAGATAGGATTTGTTCCATTTTAAATGGCATTTCAATGCATAGTTCTTCAAGATACTTGAGGTTGCCACTGGGAACTGAGAGGTCTAAGAAAGATGCTTTTTGTTTTGTGATTGAAGCCGTTAGGAGTAGAATCTGCAGCTGGAAAAATAAAATCTTATCAACTTCTAGTAAAGAAGTTTTAGTAAGGTATGTTCTTAATACATTGCCGGTTTTTGTAATGCCATGTTTCATATTTCCAGCTGGTGTGCGAAGGGATGTGAGTAGGTTGATGGCCAACCTCTGATGGTGCAAAGGTGTTGAGCTGCAGCCCGGTTTACACTGGAAGTCATGGGACAAAATTTCTCTCCCAAAGAAGAATGGATGGCTAGGTTTTCAAGATATCAAATTATTGAACAAGGCACTAATTCTCAAGCAGTAGTGGAGAATTTTGAATCATCCAGAGTTGCTGGTAAGTAGGGTCTTAAAGGAGAAATACTTTCCATCTTGTTCTGTATTTGGTGGCCAGAAATCACATGGGGCTTCTTGGTTATGGAATTCCTGGGCACCATTGATTCCTATTTTACTGAATGGGGTGGAGGTTGTTATTAGAAATGGAGCAGATACCGAAATATTTGACTTTAATTGGGTTCTTGGAATTAAAGGGGGAAAACCATCTTTGAGAATTCAGAATGATGGATTCTTTATCTGGGTTAAAGATATCTTATGTGCAGGAGGAAGTTGTTGGGATGTTAATTTGGTTAAGGCTATTTTTCCAGGAGAGGGATGCTGAAAAAATCCTAAAGATCCAGACTTTGAATCCAAGCTTGTCAGATAAGTGGAAGTACTCTTTTGACATCAAGGGTAAGTTTTATGTGGCTTCAATGCATTGAAAACTTATTGTTGATAAAGTTGGTGTGTATGAAGAAGTTAAGAATAACACTAGTCTAAAGACAAAGGTCAGGCCAAGATGTTGGAAGTTGAAGGTAATGGGGGAAAATAAAGCATTTTATATGCAAATGTTTTTCAAACATCCTTCATGTTGGAGCTAACATTCAGAGAAGAGAAGTTTGTATTGATGTGACTTGGGAGGTTTGTGGAGAAGCGGAACAAACGCAGGAGCATATCTTTTTCAAATGTCTCAAAGCCCGAAAAACCTGGAAATTAGCACTTGTACATTGGGACAAAATCCTGACAGAGCAACTTAACTTCAAGGAGTGGAAGTGGTGGATAAGCACAATGGATTACAAGGAAACTTCAGTGGACAGAATTCAACTCTCCACATACATTCTATAGTGGCTATAGAAGGCAAGAAACTTGTGGGTTTCTTAAAGCATTTGGAAGCCGGAGCAAGTGATTATCAAGTCTTCAGTGAATGATTGGAGGGACTTCAAAGACAACATGGCTTGAGGGTTTCTGTGCTAGTGTTGGAAGGTTACTAGGTCTAGTGTCAGTGGTAATTTTCCTTCTGTAGTTATTGTCTGCTTGAATTCTTTGGTGGTTATGTTCTGTATGTTCTGCGGGGTTCGAGGGCACAACTGGTGTTGGATGCTTTTGTTTTGGTTAGCTGTCTAGGTTGCTTCCTGTTAGCAGTTCACCCATTATACCAGTTTCGAGGTTATCCCCTTGATCTCAGACTATTGCTTTTGCTGGTTGAATGAGTTGGAAAAAAAAAAAGTCTCAATTATTGTCATGACAACTTAAAGTTTTTATCATTAATGTGTCAATCCATTCAATTATATGAACAAAATTAATAATTTATACTATCAAACCTTATAATGTATGTCGTACTTTTATTACATGTTATACTTATTGTAAAAATACTAGTTTGGCATCGTCCGACAAACTTAAATGTTTTCTAGAAGATTTTCTTGTTAGGCAAGCAAAATAAATTAAACGAAAGTTCTCTATTAATTTACTTGTGAATGAATTAAGTTTCTAGTATTTGTTATTAATAATATATGGTATATATTTATTATAGTATCTATTATGGAGTTCTAAACCTTTAAAAAATGATTACATAATATATATCTTACATATATTTACTTACTATATATGTCACTTACATTAGTGAGTTTGATTCTATGCTATAATTAGTTTTCTCTCTCTTGTAGGAAAAGGAATAAGTGGGGAGGACTATAAAAGGATGAGTTATCCACACATGAAGAATCCTGGAAGATTTGGAGAAGATCTCGGGAAGATTTTGAAAAATTCACCGCAAGATCATCTTAGATTTGGAAGATCGACTATTTTAGGAAAATGGTGTTCCAACACCGTTTTGGAATTGGAATTTCAAAGATCTCCAAATCACATACACGAATTCTACTTGAAGGAAACTTACTTTAAATGAAGGGAGATCACGTTCAAGATATGAAGGAAGTCATTGGGATGGAAATCAATCTCACATGGAAAGGAGTCAATGCATGGGAATGAGAAGACCCCTTACCTTTGAGGAGTTTGTATATATATGTTATCATAGACTCACTGAAGAAAAGCAGCACTTATCGAATTATTATTCCAGACTTCATTGAGTGTTTGTGAGTGTTTTTTTTTATTCGGTTCAGTTTTTCAGTGTTTTTACACCGCTGAAGAACTGAGTTTGTTTTTATTTTTTTATTTTTTATAAACACTTTCAGTGCTTATGGATTAAGTACTTTTTGTTGGGATCTGTGAGGATTTCGTTATGTAAAGAATTCAATAGCAAATGTAAACCTATGAGCAGCGGATATAAAGGTTTGACGTAGAAAGCTTACGACTTAAAAATTTTCTGAATCTATCGGATTCGGGATGACCGGGATTGGCACACGAGCAGGCCGGGAACACGAATAGATCGCCGGGAGTAGCTGGTCGTGTCGCGTGTGGTGGTCGGAGCACCGAAAGTCACATGGCTGGCCGGTGGTCGCGTCGGGTCGTCGCGGCGTCTCGTCCGGCGGGTCGTGGCTCGTCGTCGACGGTCGGTGGGTCACGATCTGTCGGCTCCGGGGCTGTGAATATATTCGATCACGGGTTCTCGATTACCTCAGGATCTTCTACTGTATTACTCACACACCTCTTCAACTTGTACCAGTGAAGCAACAAGAAGAAAATAAAGCTCGAATGAGAACTGAGAGAGAGAGAGAGGGGGCGGACGACTCACGTGTATTTGTGATTGTCTGTTCTCTTCTCATGAGTTTAATGATATATATATATATATAGAGCTACAGTAGGAATCCTTAGGATCAGAAATAGGACTTCTTAATTAATTGGACTAACTGTGGGCCAAACCCACTCCTCCAATTAATTAAATAATATTATGGGCCACTAACATAATATTATTGCACTTCCTTTACCTAGCCCAAATTACATTTGAGACTCCAATTATAATTACCCAAATTACCTCCCCATGTTTAAGATATAATGTCCATTAATTATTTCGATTGCTGACAATCAAGAATTAATTGATTTATTATTTATTTCACCAAAGCTAGTGCTCGCTCATCACATTATTATAATGCCGGAACTTAATCCACCTGCAGGGTTTAGCATAACAATCCTTCATGAACTCACTTCGGGGACATCTCAAACTCACGCACATGGTGACCGTAACTATCCTTACAGCACATCATACATACAGCAATATTACTCAAAATAGTAGGAATATTAATCCAGCGAACTGAACCTCACCCAAGTGAATCAAATTAATATGTACTGCATATATATATGCCTGTTTAATATCTTACGGGTTAAGAGAATGCAGTAATTAACTGAGGCCTAGTTCGTTTACGACGATCAGTATAAAACGAACTTCTCATATCTGGGATCTTGTTCAATACATAAATGTACTAGTGCAACTAATCAGTCAAGACCAACTGTACTGTTGACACTAAAACCATTCGGATGGGGTGTTCATATCCATGTAGGTTGTGAACCACAATTCTTGTTTCGCAAGTAACTGATAGAATGATCTTCTGTTCACCCGATAATGACCCATTCTATCTAAGTTCAAAATAATATAACATAGAACTTGTTTAGTCTAACATGATTCTCATTCATAAAGGGTAATAGTGTAATATCATCCAAAGTCAAGTTTTCAGTATATAACACTAACACTTTTGTAGCTGGAAGGGGATCCATAGGTATTATCGAAGTCCATGTTTTTCGGCCAGGAAAGTAGTTAATAGAGTCGGGTATAGTGTTGGTTAGATTAAGAGAGAGAGTCCTATTCGTGTAATTCCAATATGTACGTAGTGCGCAAACTGATCTATTAATAAAAGAGTTCTGAGGGGTAGTGGGATGCTCCCCGAAGACATATTTCTATATCGCTTCCGCTTTTAATTTTTGTGTTTGAACACACCTTGCGCACTCTACTCCCCCAACCTATTTTTCACTTATGTTATGTAATATAAATCTTATATCATATCTTTATTTTACTCAGAATACTGTTGAATTAATTTTATATTAGAAAACCTTTTTTTAATGACCTGGATATGGTTGAACTCCATTTGAATCGCTCACGAGATGGTATATAACCTGCAAAACAGTGTCGGGGGTTGTCCCGGCGTAAAAGCTCCGACGCTCAACTTAGTGTTTAATGAAAAAGATGATGCATACAATGTATGTAAGTATAGAATGTTAATATTGTGTAGAGTTTGTGATGATCATGCATCACCTTTTATATAGACATGTTACCTTATCGGCCAAGACTACCCGATTGGGCTGCCTGAGTGCTTGAGCTGCCCAATTCTGCTAGCCACGTGGTCCTATCTACGTGCTATTCTTATCTTAATTATATTCGTACTTATCCATTATTTTGGTGTCTTCATATTATCCCACTACATTAGGTAGTTTGTAGCGCCCCTTTCGTCTTATATAATATTCCTTTATTTGCCATTTTATTTGTTGCATTTATATTATTATTGCCTTTGTTTCATTATACTCATTTCTTACTCGATTATAATTATAAATTGCTTGTTTTTGCCTTGTATAATTTATCTGCTTTATCTTTGTATTATTATGTGGATAATTTTATATTCATTGTTGTGTGATTGGTTAGACAGAATTAATTCGTTTATTAGATTAATTTGTTCGGTAATTTTTGGTTCAATCCCGTTGAACCGTTTTCGATCCGTTTCGATTCGTTTTCAAGCCATTTTAAACCGAACTTCGAGATTTAAATTTTAAGCCCAAAGATTACTTAATTATTTCGGACCAAACCCTTATTAAACCGGTCCAGTGCCATGGTTTAATACCTCCCCCAAGCTTAATCATTTGGATCTCATTTTAAGTCCAAATTCAAATACCTTAAGCTCTTTATGATAAGTGTTGGACCAGAATCCTCACACCCCTCTTATGCATTTTTCCTACCCCTCATTAGTGCTTAAATGGTATCCTATTAAGGCATGTTAAAATCTTTTAATTGCGTACATAATGAGAAGGAATCATCTCTCCATTCACTCCCTATAACTCACGTCTCCTAGCCGTATTTGTGACGTAGAAAGTCTGAAAACCTTCCTTACCAACCTCTGAAAAACTCCCTCTGAAACGCATGAGCAAACCACCTTACATCACCATCATCCTCGCACGCAGCCCATGTACTGCCGGCGCTTCCCCGCAGAGCCACCCGACGTGCGCGCAAGTCCAGCAGCGGCACCCCCAACCATGCACTGCTTTCCTCTCGCACGCCCAGCAGCAGATCGACATCCCCAGCCCATTGACGACCAAAGAAGCCCTTAGCCACGTCAAAGAGATCAATGACAAGCCCTCGATTGCCGATCAACCCCTTTGCACGCGCAATCCCTGCCGAGGCCGCGCGCTAGCCGCCCGAGGTGCCCTTTTACTCGATCCATCTACCACCTTCCTTGTAGATTCGTGGGTGAACAGTAATGGATGGCTTATCCTCTAATCTATGTGTTTTTGTTGAGTACTTGAACAGATATTTGTGTTTGAGTTTGAATCTAAGTGCTTTTGATTGAGATCTATTCATTTCATAGAGTATTTGACAGATATTGCATCATACTCGTGAAATCTCATCGATTTGGACCCATTCTATTGTGTTATAGAGATCTGGAGATTTATAGAATTTTTGTAATTGAGTTTTATGCCTAAATCGAGTTTTGAAGTCCATTGATGCCTTGTTGTTCCAAGAAAATTATAAAATTATTTACTCGTTCGTTTTATTTGAAATTCGAACTGAAAAACCCTACCTTGTTGATGTTGTTGTTTAAAAAATTTCAAATTAAAAATCGATCGCTAACCTCTTGAATCGAGGCTGTTTATGAGACCAAGTAGCCAGGTCGCAGCCGCGGGCACTAGTCACGCCGTCCGTGCTAGCCGCGACGGTAGCAGGCGGCAGACTACGTAGTGGACGCGCGGGAGCCCTTGCAGCGAGGCGGGCAAGCCGCAGTGGTCGCAGGCCGGCCACGCACTATGTACCTGCGTGCTCCCTGAGCCTCGCTAACCCTAGGCGACGCCTGCGTGCCCTCAACCGCTCGCCAAACAATGAAGGGAATTGACCCATTTATCTGGTACTATAACCCAGGAAAACATCTATTGAAAGACTATTCGTTTAGGACCTATCAATGACAGACGATGCTAGATGCCCGCGGCCGCTTCCAGCAGCTCCCAGCATGAAGCCCCGTGCCAGCGCACCGTCCAGCCATCCCCGCAACGTGTCAGGAGATGC